ATGGAGCCTGCCTAAGTTCATTCACCAGGTGATGAGAGCTGTACTTCAGCCACGTGATTAAGTTATGACATATCTGTCTCAGGCTGAGGATAATTTTTATGTTTTGATGGCTCTTTCATTACACTTAAAGCAATTCCCAAAGCATGTAGCACCTGATCAACTCAAAAGAACTTCTGTTTCCGTGTCAAAACCGTGCAAGTGAGTAGTGAGATGCACTGAAAAGTCTGTTGTGAGACTTCTGAAATGGATCCCACACACTGACCCTGCTCCTGCATCAATGCACCAGTGAGGACTCAAGCTACTTTACTGGTCTTTATGAGAAATATTTAATTCCCTGGCATCTGCTAAATGGCTACCTGGAGGTTTATTGTAGTTTCCCCAAGCACTGTACCACAGTAAAAATGCCCAAGGCTTGTTACACTAGTTTTGCCTACCTGTTCCTTTTAGTTGAAAGTGTTGTGAATTTATGTGTGAGAAGTTGCTCACAGCTGGAGACTTACCGACACTGATAAAGTTCTTCAAGGAAAGCCATCTACGTGTGTATCTCATGTTCATCTTCTCTACGTTTTAATCCAGAATTGATCTGGTACTTGGCTGTGTTGGGATTATGTGGCTGAGAAGGCATAAAGATGGCATTAAACATGCCTGGGCTGAGCAGGAAGGATGGCAGAAGTGAGGGCACAAATCAATACATAAAAGGAAAAAAAGTCTCTCCTCTTAAGCAAGAGGGCTCCTGTATGCCCACAGTATGACTGTCACATCTCAGAGGGCTCTTTTTACCATGTCAGTATAAGTTTTCTATCTCAGTGTTGTATTTCTGTTTTCACCTTGTACAACAGAGATCACAATTAAGTTCCATGGGGTTGAGTGGGTCCTTGCACAGTGCACTTGTTGTGTATCTGTAATTTTAACCAAGAAAACACCTCCACTGAGCTTTAATCCCCACTCCCACTAGCGTTTTGCAGGCAGTTATTTTCTCTGTACTTTAATTTTTTCCTTGTGCTGAATGTTGCTTTGTTTCTTATTTCACTCATTCTTTACATCCTCTTTGTCTGCCCAGCACTTTATCCTTCCATTTTCCTATATCAGCTTCTTGAAGCCATGTTTCAGTCTAGGTGATTCATTGTGAGAAGCTCAAACTTATACAGCGCACCTAGTAGGTAGGTTTTAAGCAGGCAATTAGGAGAAAGTGTTGAAGAAACAGTGGACCAAATTAATCTGTAGTGCAACTCCGATTTGCTGAAATTCTCAGGTGTGAGGCATGGCTGCGCTCTGCCAGGATAACTCCTATTAAATGGAATTAGCCCTAATTACCACCACCATAAATGAACTAAGGATCAGGTTGGCATCCTTCTAGTTAATGTGAAGTTTCGTGTTAAGCTGTTAATCGGGAAAACACAGGCAATAGTTTAGTAGCTGAGAAAGGCATACTTTTCTAATGTATTTTTTCCTTGTTGTCTGCAAGTTTCTGGCCCCTAATACAAGTGTGTACCAACAGAAATTCATCAGCCTCCCCCACCCCCGGGAGACTACTTTTTAGACTTATGCAACGCAAGATATTAAAAACACTTTTGTCTGTCACACAGCCACGGGCAGGGGAGGGGGAATTTGCCAGTTGCTAATGGATACCTGGAGTTTTTGTGTATGACCATGAAGAACAGCTTGTGCACTTTCACCCCCGATGTTCCCTGAATAACTTGGGTCTCATTTAGGTCAATAAGCCTTTATCAAAACGTCAGGAGTGAAAAATGTGTCTTGGTGTAAGCCGACTGGTCGTTCCCTCCAGTCACCGGAGTCTATAGGACAATCAATGTTCTCTAAGCTTGTCTGCATGTCATGCAAAGAGCTGGATGACAGTAACCATTGACTGCGTGTCTGTCGCATTGTCTTTGGGACAGCCCCCATTTGCATACTTGCCGGTGTGCCTGTTATCCAATGAACCATGGAGGGCCTTTAAAAAACATACGCGCACAACTCCGATGCAAATTTCCTACGCAAGAGAATACACGCTTCTCTAAAGCACAATCCAGGCTTTCACTTTCTACCTTCTCACTATAAAACTGAAACTGTGCTCCTGACAAGGCCACGGTGCCTGCTCAGAGTGCGGTTTGTGGCTTCGTTGTGCTAAAACATCAACTTTTCCCTGGGTTTTTCTTCACCTACCAAGATAATTTTTGTTGTTCTTGTTGTTGTTTTGCTTTTGGTAATTGCTTTTGGTAATATCTGAAGTCTTGTCTGTGCTAACACATATAACGTGAGGCCATGCATCCCTTCCTCAGATTAGTTATTTTGAATGAAGGACAGTGTTTGCGCCCCGTATGGTTGCTATTGTCTTTTGTTGAGGGAGTTGCCTTCGTGGTAGTGATGAAAGGAGATGTACTAGCCTTCTACATACAGAAGAGTAGTTGGATATTAGAGTTTATTGACTATGTCTGTGAAACGAATACAAACACCTGATCAGAAAAAAATGGCCCATGGTGCTTTCTTTTGCTGTGACAATTCAATGGCACCTCATGCAAAGCGTGGCTCATAATTTTGCTATTCACTGCAGGTTCGTAAGTGATGTTAGGTGAAATTGGACAAAGGGAGAGTTTTGTTGCATTTTGAAGCTTCTGTCACAAGACGCAGGCTTTCCTAAAAGCATCTGCTGCAGATGCTATTCCTTTAGATTTATGATTTTCGTTATGACGTTATTGAAAAATATTTAATAATAGTCCAATTTAAAAGAAAAAAGTGAAGGGTTCCAGTGGATCCTTTTAGAACGAAGCTGTAGAAGAGATTCTTGGCTGGGTTGAAGGGTCTGAGCTTCATGTTTATTACAACCAACAATCTGGACAATTTCATTATATCTTGAAAATCTAACTGGAATACAAGTGACTATAAACAATTATGATAGCTATTCTGCTGCATCTGACATCTACCACAGGTTATGACGTTGTCAAAACTAAGGG